AATTATTAAATGAAAAAAAAAATTAGTCAAAAAAATAATATAAAAATAAACAAGTAAATTTTTTTAATAAATACACAATAAATAATCAAAAAATAAATAAAAAGTAAAAATACAAAATGAAAATAAATTTTAAAAAAGTTATTCAAGAAGAAATAAAACTCACTCTTCCGCTCTCCCTCTCTCTGACAGATGCGCATTACGAAAGATGACATGTGGATACGCACCTATGGGCGTCTGTATCAGAAACTCTGCTCGACCACCTGCGAAATTCCAATTGGTATCTATCGCACGCAGGACACCTCCAATGCGGATACTTCACATGTGAGTAACTCGCCGGTCGAGAGATGGGGACCCTTCTCCGCCTTCAGCAGGCATTGTGTGCGCTTGCGTCCATCGGTGAGTCCAAAACAAATGCAGCCAACCAAGAAAACAACAACGAAAAAATAAAAATAACAAACTCTGAAATCGAACAAAGTTTACTTTCAACCTTTTGGGCCCCTTTTGCCGATTCTATTGGCCGCACCTAAACTAAACTAACCAGAACTAAAACAACCAAAATTTGTTTTGCCTTCAACTTATCACACCAAAAATACACTACTCACACAGCCTGTCTCTCTTTCTCTGTCTGTCTCTAACTAACTCTGTCTCTTGCTCACAACTTAGGTATACTGAAAAGAAATTCAAATGAAATTGATTTGTATTCGATTTAAGTTAGTCTTTGGTTCTTAATATTTAATTAGCGGACATTCGTTTATGTTTTTGTTTCTGTTACTATTGATTTATGTGTTTCGTCCATTGAGTTCATTTTGTTTTTAAATCACACGCTTACGCTTCGATACTAACTGCATTTGAGACAAGTCTGCGCCAATAAAAAAAAAAAAAAAAACAAAATATCTAAACTTCATTTGCATATTTTACTCAATATATATTCTATATCTACTTATAAGTAACCGTAAACTATACTACTACAAGAACTCTCTTTTTCTCAATTATTACTCTTGAACTTGTGAACGTAATGGCAAAGCTAAAAAAATTTTTAATTAAATTTCAATTAACGTAACTTTTACTCGCTTAACAACGATCTAGAGTTTTTTTCCTCATATACATATCAATATATATATATATATGCTTAGCCAAAGAAACCCTTTCGAAAACATAAAGCATAGCGTGCTGATTTAGCATCAATTGTATAAAAATTTCCCCCTTGATTTTGTATATAAACCTTAACAAAAAAATGAAAACTTTCGTAGTTGATTTTATATTTTTATATATTTTATTGAATCAGCCAGTCGAAAGTTTTTCCCACAATTTTTAGCTCATCTTTTGCCTAATCCTTACTCGTATTATAAACACACACATTAGCTAAAAATAAATCAAAAGAAAATTAAAGAAAATGAAAACCCAAAAGCCTTCTTGGCGCCTCCCCCGGTTCCTACAAATTTGCGAATAAATTACTCATACGACCCATTGTCAAATTTGTCTGTCGAAATGAAATGTCGAAATGAAAATAAACTAATTTGCGTTTGTATTGGACTTGACCAGCTATTGAGAATACGCACACGCACGCAGTGAGTCGCATATATATTTAATAACAAAACATAGACTAGTCAAAAAAGGACAATCTAAAAATAAAAAAATAAAATAAAAATATACAAAAGATATACTCAACAAGAACAACAACAAACTCTATTTAAATAATCAAATACATTTCTCATACAATTCTCACAACAATTGCCTGCCTGTCTCATAAGCCGTAGCATTCTCTATGGCCATTCTTGTGTGTGTGTGTGTGTGTGTGTGTGGTGGTCTGCCTATGTGTGTAGATATATAGTATAGTAGAATTAGCTAGGAATTCGCTTGCATGACTCTGCACTACTCTTCGCTTGCTGTAATTTTTCCGTTTCCGTTTCCCTTCCGTTTTTTTTTTTTTGTTTTTTTTTTTTTTTTTTAATTTTTCTGCATGCAGACCTTTAATTAGCTGATTGCATTTGCTTGTTGCGTTGCGTCCTGCACGCCAGGACAATAGCTGGCCACGAAAAACAAAACATAAATAATTACATTATCCATAGGCGTTGTAAAACACCCGAACCAAACCCCGCTTAACCCTTTGCTGCTGTCTGGACTCGGCTATTGTTGCACTTCGTGTTGTGGCCTTTGATATTTATTAATTATTCTACATGAGTCACTAAGTTTACCACAGCTTCATTTATTTTTTAATCGTTGCTCGATTATCGATATTATTTATCGTTGGGCTTAAAAATAAAGCTTTTATTTTTTAATTACATTTTCATTATATTTAATTATTTATCGACCTAACATAAATCATATGTTTATTTTTTTTTTTTTTAAATAA